AACGTTAACGAATAGAATAAAAACTGGTTATCAGTATTAAAGACGTAGACTTTTACAGGAATATACAGAAACAGGAAAAAGAAAGATAATACATGTATGCAGTATTCGGACTGCGGGAAGTGTTCGGATCCGGTTACCTAATCATACACTCATAACTTTTATGGTTCCCTTTTTGGCAGTACGCTTAGACAAAACCCTGGTTGAAATGTGGGACACGGTCACTGTCGAATAAAACAGTTTCGAAAGCAGTTTCTTTGTTCCTCGAGTTTCAAAAAAGGGGACGAGTCCTATTACTGTAGTGTAGTTTTCACAATTTTAATAAATAAGTGCGTACAGCGAAACTTCGATATAACGAAGTCCTCGGCCCCAGAAATACCCTGGGTTCCAGAGGATATTTTTTTCTTATAGATACTGATGGTTCGTGGAGAAGCCACGTCAACGAGGCGCAAAGCGCCGTGAGATGAAAAAATAACAAACCTTATGAAACCGTAAGCACGGTTTATTTCACCTTAGGTATTTTGAGAACGGACCTCTGGAGCCAGGGTACCCCAGAAACAGTAAAACGTAAGGAAAAGATCCTCGATATTACGAAAACCTCGATCTCGTTATATCGAGGTTCCACTGTAGAAAACATTTGCTTTAAAGTTTTGTGCGGATCAGAAATAAAGAAAACATGCAATATTTTATTTATACCTTAGTGTTTGCCGTGGGCCACCTGTACTTTGTTCGTTTAAAGCGTTATCAGGGCTCTTTTTCTCTTGAAACTTGGCTTAAGTTTTTATTTATTTGTGATTCGATAAAAAGCCGCCTATTGTAAACCTACTGTATGTAGTTTACCATTTTCAATGTGACTTGTGCGATGCAGGTTATGTAGCCTTTACACTTTGAGGCACTTACATCAGCGCATGAGTGAACCCAAGAATTTGTCTTCTTCCATTGGGAAACATTATAAGGATAACACCCCACTGTCCCGAAAAATCTCCAAACACAGTTCTCTGTACAATAACTTAACAAGTTCGATTGTTTAGTGCAAGAAATATTGCTAATTAGGGAACTAACACCTTCTCTAAATCAGACTGAATTCGAGCAAAACGTTTTGCGTGACTCTGCATATTTCATATATGCTAATCACCAGCCAAAAAAGAAATTGTCATTTTGTCAGCAATCATTTTGAATTCGAAAATGACATCAAGATGCCACTGAAACGTCGTTCTTATCCGCGCTATCTTTGGGCCCGACAACTTGTAACGTCGTCTAACCTGTGCAAATGTATAGAACCATTAGGCCCCCGGGCTAACCCTGGACAGTTGACTGGAGTTTAGCGGCCGAACAGTGGAAGTACGGGGAAGGAATTGACTGGAATTGACTGACGGACGGACGGACGGACATTCGTACGGATGATTTTGTAAGAACCAAAATGATAACCAAATTTCCCTACCCATAATGATCCGCTGCTCGCGCGCGTCTAAAAAATAATTGTCCTAACTCATTAAAAACAGAGTTACATCAAAATTGTAAGGTCACTTTCTTTCATTCATTTCATTTCTTCTTCTTTTTATTTTCAGATGAATTTATCATCCCCTTGAGAGGGAATTAAAGTTCCAGTTTTAAGTGACATGGGTAGGTATCAGACACTTCAATTTCTGTCCTACTTATCAACCAACACAAATGTAAAAGGAAATCTCGACACTGGAAACTTCCTAATAAGTTGATGAAGTTCATATAAAGTTATATTATTGGTGAAAATATCTGTAGAGAGTGGGAAAGGTAGTAAAGGGGAGTAATGTGACAGTGGCCGCCACCGTTGTTCCTTAATAATGTATTTAACCTGAGATTAGGCTCTATTTTCGTTTCGCTTTGTAAATAACCTTCCGGCGGTAGCTGTTAGAGAGAATGTATGAGAACCGCTCAAATTGGGCCTGATCTCAGGTTATAATCTATTTTACCTTGCTAAAATCGTTGTTGTTGCTGCTTTTTGAAACAAGGACGAACTATTGAGTGATTCAGTTTCAATTTTTCCTTTCGTCCATTCCAAAAAACTGCAGTTTCCTCCAGCGATATATCATGATAAGCTACAAGAGATCGGTAGGCTCTATCTATATTAATGTTAAGATGTTGCAGTCGCCCGTTTATTAATATTCTAGTCTATAGGGGTTATCGATAATCTAGTCCAAGTCGGCCTAGCCTGCGAATCTTGATCCACGCTACTAGGGAAGTTTCGCCAGGAGGAAAGTCTGCGCCTCAACGACAGAAATTGCATACTGATAACGTAAAGCAACGTTTACATAATAAATCCGGTAGTCATGGGGTTCTAAATGTAAATTTGTTTGATTTTCTGTTTCTCCTGGTCGACTATGGTAAAGGTTTGTGTTCAACTGCGAAACACAGATGCTGTTTCTAAAGAAGAATGTATTCGAAATGAAGTAGATTCATCACGTTTACGACCCAGTTTACATTTGACCTTCATGGCCTTTTGTCTTTTGTTTGTCATTTGTAAACAATAGGCCGAAACAATATAACTTCTATGTCGACCAATCAGAGCTCCTGACCAGATTCCGGACAGATTTTACATCGCAGACGTTCCTTCTTGCGAAACCTCTCTAGAGGCGAAGAGATAGGAGAAACGGCTGCATTAATTCGCAGGCTACAGTCGAACTCCAGTGATCTTAATAACACCCCTTTTTATTGTAAATCAGCGAAGCCGTTTGGTACATGAATTTTATATCAAACCAGCTTTTGTTTTCATTCTCTTAAGCGGACTTTGATGATGAAGATTTTGACCTGATTCAGCCATCGCTGATCCAGCAATTAAGGAAAATTTTAGATGAATACCCAGACGACGGACAGGTCTTGAAGGTAACGTTGGATTTTTTCTTTCGCATTATACTCTAGCAAATTAACAAATGAATATGATTATAAAAACGATCTTAGTCTTATAGCGAAGGTGAAGTGTAAGGGCCTATTCACATTTCAATGCACCTTTCCATTGTTTTGAACAGGTTATTATTTCCAGTAAATGGAAGGGCAGGTCACTGACGTGGAACAGGAGGTTATTATTACGAATAATAACTTAGGGACGGACCATTAGAAAACTTACGGGGAGGGGGGGCGAAATACCAAAAAAAATTTCGCGCAAATGCAAGGGAAAATTGAATGAAAAAAATTCTTGCACGCCAATTAATCCTAAAAAATATTCATGCTATGGCCTAAAAAAAAGTCATACAAGGAAATTGATGACGAAAAAAAATCCCTGCGGCTCGAAAATTCCCCTCCCCCCCCCCCCCATAACTTTTGTAATGGTCCGTCCCTTATTGTTCCATTTCAGTGGCCACAATAATGACCTGCTGGTTCTAAAACAATGGAAAGGAGCATTAAATCGGATAATGCCCTCGCTCCTCGGCCTTCTTGAAAATAATGACCAAGGCCTCGGAGCTCTAGCCTCCCACGCAGGCGTTTTTAAGGGAGCTCGTTTTTCATCCCTCCACAGGTATTATTCTATATAGCCAAGCCTTGAGAGACTGCCAGCTACTGCTGCTAAAGTTCATGAAAAATTTTTGCGCCTTGCAAAAGAAAGGTCCTCCTCCGATACGTTAATCCAGGCAGATCTATTTTGTTGACACTGTAGTCTGTCCATGTCATGTTCTTGTTGAAAATTGCTACAGGCGATGTCTAGTATTGCTTTGTTCAAATTTCTAAGCGTAAGCCTTTTTTCTTGGTAATCAAGCACATTTCAGTTTTCTTAATGACTGTGTGTAATTTTTCGCTTCTTTCGCCTTTTTTTTGTTTATTCTTGCATTATTTTTTTCTCACCTTTTCTTTTTCGTTTTTGCACTTACACGTTCAGCCTTAATTATTTTTATCCCATTTAATGATCATTTTCTATTTTTTAAAACACCTAGCCTAGAGATATGATAGTAGGTTTGCAAGTTACGACCTTTCCGCGATTGCCCTCCCTCTTAGTGGACTTCATGAATTTGAATTACAGCCAAACATTTCCTTACGGAGATTTTACTTTGTCTTTATGTTAATGATATCTTAAAGTTCTGTACTGTTTACGTTTCCTTAATAATACCCGCGCATTGCTCTGTAGATTAATTATGATGTATTTTGTTTTGTTTCTAAGGAACTTATTCAAAATGCGGAAGACGCGGGTGCCACACAAGTCAAATTTCTGCACGACAAACACAGCTATGGCACAGATGAGCTCTATAACGATGAACTGGCAAAATTTCAGGTACCACCTTCTCAGTTCGATTTAAATCTTGAACCTGACGAAAGCGCCAATTCATGAATTTCGTAGATGAACATCACGATTTCTGTCTACCAGCCCTGCTTTGTGGTGATGTACCAACCAAACTCGAGCTCGTCCTTTTCTTGCTAGACTGCCCCCTTTAATTCGTTTCCGGCGTTCCCTCGTTTCTCGACCTGTGTGCCTCAATCTTAGTGCCAATACGTATAGTCATTCTAACTCATTTTCCAGAGTTCATAGCCTTGCAAATTTGGCGTCCTTCATGCCGATGGTCTTATAAAAAGCTTTTGGTGATCCGATTAGCTATATCGTTCAGTGATGCCTCTGTTAAAAAGGCCACCTTTCCTTTGCAGGCCCTTGTTCCAGTCCCGGCAGACAGATTTAGTCTTGTTTCCAAATATTTAAAACTGCCCCCTTCATACAACGGCCTCCGGTGTCTTATCGTAAGATGTTTGTTTTGAGAGGTTCTTCTCTGCTTGAAAAAAAAGAACCATATTAAAGGCGCACGAAAAAAGCGCTAAATGTTAAGGAACTTATATCCTTGTTACTTGTTCATAGGGTCCAGCACTTTATGCCTACAACAACTCCAAATTTTCCAAAGAAGATTGGAGAGGCATCCGATTAGTCTGTGACAGCATCAAAGTAGAGGATCCCATGAAAGTTGGTCGCTTTGGTTTGGGATTCAAATCTGTGTTTCACATGACAGGTAAAGTAAATACTTTCCGCGTACGCGAGAGATTTTCTTTATTAATTAAGATATCTGGTCCAGAAAAGGTAAAAAAAAAAGTAGCGACCAATCATCCCCCACTTCAGCGTTGGGAAACCACTTAAGCTCGACGTCAGTGCGACGAGGTAGTAGTTTGTGCGACTTACTCAAGGCTTACAAAACTGAGTTGTCAAATCAATTAAGGGAAAGCTACTATGGTTGAAGAAAGGGTAGCTGACAATAGTCTTTACAGACCTTCTCTAAACTATTTAATATGCTGTATTGAGATTTTATCAGTAGGAAACTGTCTGTAATAGAGAGGTGTCGCTCACATTTCAGCGGTGTCCGTAACAGGGAGGTGACAGTATGGAGAGGTTCGAAAGTGATGCATATTATTTAAGTTTAGTAATTAACTTTTACGTACGTAGCCCTTTCTCCCCTCAGATTTGCCAAGCTTGATCAGTGATTCGCGGATTGGCTTTATTGATCCTCATGGCGTTCATTTTCCGGACAGGCGTCGCATACGAACAGGGAAGTACTGGCGACTTGACGAAGACCGCGCGTCCATCGATGAGTTTTCAGACCAATTCCTTCCTTATAAAGGCATATTTAACTGCACAGATGAAGTTTTCTCCCAGGGATTCTATGACGGAACCCTATTCCGTTTTCCATTCAGAAGGGAACGCTCAGACCTTTCAGAAACATTGTACAACGAAGATAAGATGAGGACGTTGTTTGACAGTTTCAAAGCCGATGCTTCCCTGATCCTCCTGTTTTTGCAGAGTCTGGAATCTGTTGAGCTCTATACCAGAGAGGAATCAGATTCCAGCCCCAGTAAAATCTTTCAAGTAAAGATTGCAGAGAAAAGCCTGCAAACAGTTCGTGCGAAGAGAAAGGAGTTTCGGAAGAAAATCACACCTGGGAAAGTTATGCCCGAACCAGTCACAGTGAGCTATCCAATGACCATTGAAACAACTAATTTTGAGACGCACTTGACAGAGAAACACTCATTCTTTGTTACAAACTACTTCTGTGGTGGGCAAGTATCTTCAACGTTCAAAAAGTTGATGACAGATAAGGTTCTCAGCTATCTCCCCACAGTTGGTGTTGCCATGGCATTGCCAGACGGTCCACAGTTACAGACGCCTGATATCCAAGGCCACGTCTTTTGTTTCTTGCCGTTACCAGTCCAGACGAAAAGCTTAACTGGTTTGCCAGTGCACGTTAATGGTTTCTTTGCCTTGAGTCAAAATAGGCGTTACATCAAGTCTCCGAATGCAGATCAAGAAGAACGCCAGAAGACAGGACGTAAGATGACTGATAAATCCTTGTTATGGAACAAGTGTCTCCTCGAAGAGGCCCTTCCTAAGGCTTATACCACCATGATTTTGGAAGCCATAAATGAGAAGTCTGTTTTCATTTCCAAGACAGCAATCTATAAGTAAGTTACATGTTTCAGTACATCGAAATACGGCGCCCTAATGAAATTTGTTCGCTACTGGTTGTTGTTTTTTTTTTTTTTTCAGAAAACAAAGTAATCTTTTTAAAGATTACTTTGTTAATTAAAATTACTTAAAAGATTTTACGGATATTTAGTGAAATAGGAGAAAAGGATGTCCTTCTGACGTTTACACGAGTTTGAAAAAGTAAAAGTATGCAGATTAAAGAAAGATCCAATTCCCAGGATAGAAAAAACAACTTCTTATACACAAGCTTACGACTTCATCGCGGAATCTTTATCAAGTGATGGAATGGGACGTTTTGTCGCGTTATTTATACTGCGAATCACGCGACAAAACGTCCCAGTATACGTAGAAAGTAGGGAGCTCGTAACCGCCATCACTGTTCAATGTTCTTGACGCCTGAAAAAAATATTTCGATGGCCTATTTATTTTCTATATTTGACTTCTGTTGGCCTCATGGATAGTGTCTTCATCCTTCATTGTCTTTCCACTGCTATCCTGACTATAGGTTTTTTTTTGGCAAATTTACTTTCTTTAACTCCATTTTAAAGTGAGAAAAAAAGATAAATTATGAATGATAATCCATAAAATATTATATCAAGACGTTGAAGCTTTCGCAGATTTTGTTCATGAAAGGAGAACCTTAGAGATCATCATCTTGTGTATCTGAGAAAAGAGGTTTTCTAATGTGACTAGAATGGATACCAAGTCAGATTGTCATCTTCACTCAAAATACATGACAGGAGTCTTATAACTTAAAGTAGTAAATAAGAGAAGAAAGAAAACAGTAGGTAGTATGTAGGACTTGAACCAACGTCACTTAATGTATAATCCATATCCGTATCCACTACACCATCAAGGGCTAACTGCCGACACCGGTTAATTTTAACGTACTTTACATGGCATTGATCATTACACTATTGAAAGCTAACCGGTTTTTAAACAGTCCTTACCCCTAATCACTGTACTTCGGTGCTAAACCCTCTATTCAACCCTTTTCCTTGTACAGCTGTCTTTTACTCTGATTTCCCCAATCTTCTTCACTTCTTCACTCCTCCACTCTTCTTTTCAAGAATGTGCCCAATCAATTCGCATAAATATAGTATAGCGTGGTATAGAGTATAGCGTTATGTAGTAGACATAAGGTGTCCAACCTGATTTTTAGTTATCCCGTCTAGTTACCACCGTTTTCTGATACTCACTGTGCCGTGATTATAAATTAAGCAAGTATTTGGTCTACCATAAAGCACCACCCACAGCGTAAGTGTGCTCCATTTTTGCTGTTATTCAGATGAAAACTGTTCTGTAAGACTATTGAACAAATTTTCTTTATTATAGTCCAGTGCATCTTGAATCCAATACAATTTTTCAACCTGACCTTCTTGGATTCTAATTACACTGATTTGCTCTTAATGTCAAAATGAAATGCCAAGAATGTTCGTATGGAAGTTAGGTCAGTTCAGAAAAAATATCAACTAGGAAAATCAAAAAGGCCGAACTTTCTGTTTTAATAATATTATATAACAGAAACAATCTGAGATAGTAAAGGCGTCACGAAAACAAGGTCAAGTGAAAATAAAACGCACTTGATTTGGGTTAAAGGGAGCTGGTGGTGCCATTAAAGCAGCCAAGTGTTTTACAGGCTGCAAAACAGGGCATTGACAAAGCGGGAGTCGCAATCAGTACTCTATTTTTTATCTCCTTTCAGAGCTTGGCCTGACATAAAGTCTATAAACAAGCAGTGGAAAGGACTTGAGGAACCTTTGTTTCAGTTACTTTTGGCAAAGAACGTTGTTCACACAGAAGCAAAAGGTGGTAATTGGCTGGCCGTTTCAGAAGCGCTTTTTCAGCGTCGAACGGACGGCGAACAACTTCAACTGCTTCAGAAGGTTCTGCTATCCATCGGTGCCCCTACTGTTACTGCACCAAGTCATGTACTCCGGGCTCTGGATGCCTATGCATTAAATCAAAACGAAATCACGCCTTCTTTGATACGACATGTGTTAAGGAAGGTACCCTTATGCTACACAAGGCTTGATAAGACAGAAAAGCTGCTGCTCCTTCAGTTCTGTCTCAGTGATCGTGCTTTTAAGGATCTGGCTAGCTTGCAACTTTTGCCATTGGCCAATGGAACGTTTGCCAAATTTGATAGCAGTGCTACGACAGTTTACATAACCTCTCCAGAACATCCTCAAGAACTGTTTCCAGGCACACCTGAAACATTTTTGCAGAACGACTTGGACGAAGATATTCTTCAAAGACTAACAAGCGCAGCTTCTGAAGGTAGGCTTCTCATAACATGAGCTATTTCTCCGGATACCAGAATCAATGTTTAGGCCAGGAAGGCACAAATGAGCACTGGAGCACACCCTTTCGCATGGAGAACAAAAGTTCGTTTTGTATGCCGTATTAAACCGAAATAATCTGGATTCTTCAATTCTACTAATGTAATCAACGCCTACAGTAAAATTTATTTGGATTTATATCATTTGCTAAAGGTTAAGGATGGAAATGAGCGATAGTGATGACGTTTCGATGATGCCATCTCATCATTTTCATTCTTAATTCCGTGATGTCATTGTTTAACGAGATACGCGCCGAAGTCTAGTTGAATGTGATGAGCTGAGAAATACAATATAAAATGTAAAACTTGTTGATTATCAGGTAAATAGCTTACTGTTATAAAGTCAGAGTGGCTGTTCTGTTGAGGTTTCTTTTCTCTGGGTTTCCATCAATGTACGTTTTTCTTCGTTTAAGCGTTTCGAAAAGTTTCCTAAATCAACCGCAGTACAATAAAAGATTGAAAAGATTGTTCAGCTCCTTTTTTAAAACTTGTCTTGATAATCAGTCATACTTTGCCTTTGGTTTTTAAAACGAAAACACCAATGATAAGGTCTTGGACGTGCTAATCAACGTGTTTTATAATTACATTTAAATACAACAGAACATACTCAACTACAGCTCCTTAGAAGCCACCATGTACCTGAACTTCTTGGGCAGTCACTTCCGCAAGACTGGAAAAAAGGCGACCCAGTGTTGTGGTATCCAGATAGCCCCAGTTACCATCATCCTTCAAGAGCGTGGATCCAGTCACTTTGGAATTATCTGCAGCGGCATTTTATGAATAAGTGGGATATTCGCCAACTCGAAGGACTACCTCTAATCCCGTTGAGTATGTCTCAGACACCTGTTACCCTGACGCGTCTCTCCCGCCCAAGTAGGATTGTTGTGAAACAGTATAATGAAGAAAGCATTGATGAGAACTTGGCAAATGTGTTAAAAAGGCTCGGAATTATTGTACTGCATGATCTACCGACGTTTATAAGCTACCATCCAGCTGTCATGGGAACGTACGTGAATGCACCAACTGTCCAAGGTGTTCTGAAAGCAATGATGACAATGAAATCTACATTGCCACCAGGAAGTTTTTCTGAAATCCTTCAAAGAGACCTTTCAAAAACAGAAAAGCTTACCCTAAGGTCCTTTCTTGCAAATATCAGCTCCTTTGACATTGAAAAGGAAGGTTATAGAGTCTTCTTGTGTTCCTTACCAATTTTCGAAACACTCTACAAGAGGTTTGTTTCAAAGAATGATGGCTTGAAAGCAGCCCCTGCCGAGGCCCTTCCAGTCCCTCCACCGCAAGACCTTATTGATATTTCCAACAACGACTCCTGGACTCTGGCACAAATACTTAAAGTCAGGATTTTACAGCCCATTGAGGTCATCTGCGAGATAATATTTCCCGGAATCCATGAAGGAAACTACGATGAAGATCAAATTGATGAAGTGATGTTCTATGTTTTTGAACGTTTTACACATATGATCCGTAAAAACGCTAATTTTAAGTGGCAACTGCAAGCTCTGTCCTTTGTCCCAAAGCAGACAGACCGGGTTAGGGCATCAGATGTGTTTGATCCCCGAGACACCACACTAAAAAAGATATTTGCTCAAGAAGATGTCTTTCCCGCAGGTGAGATGTACACTGATCCAGCTACCCTCGTTATTTTGGAGGTACTTGGAATGAAAGATGAGTCCAACATCAGTGCTAAAGACCTCTTTCATAGTGTCAAACAAGTTAACAGAATTGCACATCACCAAACAGCAAGACAGAAGTCTAAGGCAATTTTATATCATCTCAACAATCACCCTAAGAAACTGAAGAAAAAAGTCGATGGAACAGAGCTGGGACTGCTACTCATGAAAATGCAGTGGGTGCCACGATTGCAGCAGAAACAATCAAGTTTTCCTCCTTCGCTTCCATGGTTCAAAACTGAGAAAGGAGCGGAGTGCTTTTTCAAGCCAACCGAGCTAAAGAGTCCTACCCTGGTCAATCTCATAGGATCCGTTAGGCCCGTTGTGGAATTAGAGCCACTTACGGAAGTGTTCGAATATTTTGGCTGGCAAAAATTACCAGATGTCTTTGATGTTGCATTGCAGTTGAGAAATGTAATAAGTTTCTATTCCAAAGACGAGAAACCATATTACATGGTTATCTTAAACGAAATCTACTCTTACCTCAGTCGTGCAAACTACCAAGCCTTAAGTCTGGTATTTCAGCAAATGGAAATCGTCAACTGGGTATGGAACGGAGATGGCTTTTCCTCACCTTATCAAGTCCTTTCGGGTAAACTACCTTTTGATCTTACACCCTACGTACACCCTCTTCCCTCGGAGACGATGAAGTTCTCCCTCCTCTTTGAACGGTTTGGAGTCAGAACACATACTGATCCAAATGTCCTACTACAAGTTCTTTACGCAATCAAAGAAAAGTATGACGCTGAAGTGGCTCCATTATCCACCTATGAAGTGTACCATGACCTACAGTTATCTGTTGGCATATTAAATGAGTTGGCACAAGAAGAATTACCCCCAGATATTCAAGAGAGGATTGTTATTCCTGTTTATACCGAGAACAAATATGTGCTGCTTGAGCCGGTTGAGCGCTGCATGTACAGTGAAAACAGAGATTGGCTTGCAAACGACGGGGAAGATGAAGACATGGAATACTTATACGTGCACCCCGATGTTCCTAGCCGCACTGCTCAACGTCTTGGTGTTCCTTCTCTTACAAATCGAATGTTGGAGCCTGAGGAGCTGTACATAGGAGAAGAATTTGGGCAGGAAGAGAAGCTTACTACTCGACTCAATCGACTACTAGAAGACTACACTGATGGGTTTGCAGTGCCAAAAGAACTAATTCAGAACGCAGACGATGCTGGTGCCACTGAGGTTAGATTTCTTTACGATGAGCGAACTAATGAGGATGCCAAAACCTGCCTCATTGACGAAGGAATGAAAGGTTGTCAGGGTCCCGCCTTATGGGTCTACAACGATGCAACGTTTAAAGATGAGGACTTTGTTAACATCACGAGACTAAATGAAGCAACCAAAGCGCATGACACTGCAAAGATCGGCAGATTTGGACTTGGATTCAATGCAGTGTACAACCTTACAGATGTCCCCATGTTCGTTAGTAGGAACTACTTGGCGATCTTTGATCCTCACACTTCCTTCCTGGGAAAAGCGATCAGAAACATAAGAAGACCGGGAATGAAAATAAATCTCAACAAAGACGTCAAAAGACTGAAAAAATTCAAAAATCAGTTAAAGCCCTTCTATGGCGTCTTTGGGTGTGATTTACGTCTCGAGAAACAAGACAACTCATTTGACGGAACCCTTTTTCGATTTCCACTGCGGACGGAAGATCAGGCTTCAGCGAGTGAAATTAAGAAGTTATGGTACAACCAAGAGCAGATGCGCGAATTGCTGCAAATGTTTCTCCACGGTGCTGAGAATGTACTTCTATTCACGCAGAATGTTCTAAGTGTGGGAATCTATCACTTACCGAACACGGAAAGCCAAGATCCACAACCTACATTGATGTTTCAGGTCACAAAATCGGCATCCCATGCTGGAATCTTGAGAGAACTGTCGTTTACATTTACCCTTCCTCCAACTGCATTTAAGCTTACTCCAGAGGAAATGAGTTTTCTTCAACAGTGCAACTTCCTTCAAGCTTCATCAAAAAGCAAGATGTTGGCACGCGGCAAGAAAGTCGACCCCAAAAAGCTTCCAAAGTCGTCCATGATAGTTGACGTCGAGTGCAGGTTAACAAAAAGCGGTTCTGATTTCTTTCATGACGGTTTCCATTCGGAAAAGGCAACATGGCTCATTGTCTCGTCTATGGGGAACGGCCAAGCACTGAAGTTTGCAAATGACGATCCTTGTCTTCTTCCTTCAGCGGGAGCAGCCGTTCAGTTACTTCCAACAGAGTCGAACACTTTCTGTCCCTCACCAGTTGCGAAAACGTTTGATGGTTTAGATCTCAAAGGCACTATATTCTGCTACCTGCCACTACCAATTCATAGCGGTCTACCAGTTCACATAAATGGAGCATTCGCCTTAGCCTCGAATAGGCGTCACTTGCAAATGAAACTGGAAGACGACAAGTCTTGCTATGGAGTGGAATGGAACAATGTACTGCTGCTAGACTCTGTAACATCTGCTCTCTTAGATCTTCTGGAAGATATGAAAGGCATTGCTCCCAAAGATGGCTCGTACAAGTTTCATTGTCTGTGGCCAAAGACGTCCGAAGTTCATCGAAACTGCTTTCCACTAGTTCTGTCGTTCTACACACAACTCAGCAGGGGTGGTTATTCTCTTTTCTCCAATGGAGAGCACTGGGCTGACATCAAGCAAGTCATTTTCCTTGATCCATATTTCCGGAAAAAGCCCAACATCGGGGAGGCCGCGAATGAGGTTCTAAAAATATGTCACAGGGGTAGAGAAATAGTCATAGACTTACCTGCCGATATTTTGCAGTCTTTCGAAAAGTGTGGCCTGGAGAAAGCAATCGGTGCCAAAAAATATAGCAAGAACAGATTTTTTCGTGAAGTTTTTTTTCCAAACGTTCACATTCTTCCGGTCAATCTTAGAGATGTCCTGACTCTACATGCTTTAGATGACAAAAGTGGGGAGTTCTATGACTTGATAAGGCTGCACCCTTGTGTCCCATCTTCACCAACTGGTTACGTTCTAAAGACTCCTAGCCAGCTCGTTCATCCCTCCGGAGAAGCAGCGGCACTATTTTCCCCTGAAGATGGTAGATTTCCTTATTGGACTGAAGAATCATATGCTCACCAGCAAAGGCTGGCCAAACTTGTAAAGCTGGGAATGTCATCGGATGATCTTCCTTGGTCCGAGCTACCGGAAAGAGCCGAGAGCATCCAACAGCTAAATGCAGTTAGCAGTAAAGAGGCATTAACCCGCGTGAAGGTATTGATATCATTTATGGAGAAGAAGCTGATTCGCCAAGACAACCCTACACCTCAGATTTCTACTCGTCTGTTAAACACGAAATTTCTTCCCATTCTTCCGAAACCAAAAGAATTTCCTCTCCCGTGGAAAGGAGAGGAACTTGTAGAAAACTCGCAAGTTCTGCTAGCACCTAAGGAAGCCTTCCTAGAGGAGAGAAAGTTCTTAGTTTGCTGCACAGAACCTCTAATTGGGGTTTCAGTGCCAAAACAATTACGAAGCCTGTTACATCTAGATGAAAAGGGAATCACACTGGATCATGTAGTACAACAAATGACCCAGGCAGTGTCCGTCAAATTAGATCTGCTTAATACGTCCGAGTACAAGGAACTGCGCCTCGTCTGTAATAATCTTTATTCATGTTTTCAGGATGCCCTCGACTATTACAGTGATGAAATCATAGCATTTCTAAGAGGAATAAATTTTATTCTTGTCGACAGGAGTTTTCTCTCTGCAAATCAGGTGGCATTTACATTACCTGTAGATTGCTCTCCGTATCTGTTCAAAATTACGCATGAATTGGCATTATCTTTTACCCCATTACTGAAGGCAGCTGGTGTTAAGAACAAATTCGATGAACAGGATTACATTTCAAGCCTACTGAAAATAAAGGAACGAGTTGGAGAACAGCCCTTAGATTACCAAAACCTTCAACGTGCTACACGTCTGGCAAAGCTACTAGGTGACACTCTCGATTCCACGAAGCCAAACCTAAAGTGTGAAATGGTTTACCTCCCCGATTCCAAAGAGCTAATGCGGCCAGTATCTGAACTTTGTGTTAGAGACTGCACCTGGTTGCCAGACGAAGAAGGAGTGAACTTTGTGAATGACAACATTCCTTGGCCAATAAGCTGGAAACTAGGAGTTAAAACACGAAAGCAGGAAGCCCTGAGACCTCACGTATCTGGAATTCCCTTCGGGCAGCGAGAGAAACTCGCAAACCGCTTAAAACGAATTCTAACAGGTTATCCTTGTGAAAAGGAAATTTTGAAAGAGCTCCTTCAAAATGCTGATGATGCAGGGGCAACTGAGGTTTGGTTCATTAAAGATCCTCGAAACCATCCTGGTGAAAAAGTGTTTGAAGACATTTGGAAGCCTCTGCAAGGTCCTGCGTTATGTGTGTATAACAACAAACCTTTCAGAAATGAAGACATTGAGGGAATACGCAACCTAGGCGAAGGCAGTAAAGGAGATGATCCCAACAAGACTGGCCAGTATGGAGTTGGATTTAATGCTGTTTACCACTTGACTGATGTACCCTCTTTTATGACAAAAGGAGAGGATATTGGAGAGATTTTGTGCGCATTTGACCCAAACTGCAGATATGTTCCTAACGCTACACCTCAAGAACCCGGAATGCTTTTCAAGGACGTCACGCACCTAAGAAAGCGATTCCCTGACGTATTTCCTTGCTACCTGGAGAACCATTTTCAAATTGAAAATGGCACAATGTTCAGATTTCCGCTGAGGACAAAAAAGATGTCCGTGGTTTCTCAGATATCAAAAAGGGTTGTCACACTTGAGATATTGGACACAATGCTGGAGGACCTAAAAAAGGAACTGTTTGAAGTCCTCTTATTCATCAACAATGTGAAAAAGATCACCATCTGTGAGGTTCACAAAGCCACTGGGGAGCTTTTTAATTTTTACTCTGTTGAGACTACAATGACAAAGGAGGATGCGGTGGAAAAGCAGGCGTTTAGGGAAATGATCAAACAGGTTGGAACGTATTCCCTTCCAACTGATATTCCAGCAGCGAAAGTGTCTTACGTGCTGAATATCTCGGACAGTTTTCACAACCAAGAGAAATGGCTCATTGTGCAACAGGTGGGATTTCAGAAGGCGGTGAAAAAGAGTATAGTGAATGCCTTCAATAGAAAGGAGCTGGGAATGCTTCCTCGCGGTGGAGTTGCCTGTATTTTAGAAAAGAATTCAAAAGACCATGACGAGCGAGGTAAGAAAGCCTACTGTTTTCTTCCACTTCCATTTGAAACGGCTCTACCAGTGCACATCAACGCGCATTTTGCACTGGACCACGAAGCAAGGCGAAATTTGTGGAGAGACGAAGGGGGTGGGTATCGCAGTGACTGGAACAATGCATTACTAGGAGATGTGGTGGCCTCATGCTATCTCACGCTATTAACTGAAGTGCGAGCTTTCCTTAAACTGCCCATCTCTAAAGACGGAAAACCTTGCACCTTAACGTGTTCCGAAGGTGAGGTTTTGCAAAGCATCAAGGCCTACGAGAGCATCTTTCCACTAAAACCGCTTTCGGATCCGTACTGGGAGATACTGGTAGATTCTCTTTATGCTGAAATGGAGAGCAACGAAGTAAGAGTTTTACCAGTAGTAAGAAACAAACAATCGAATGCAGTGTTTCCAGGATGCGAAAGCAGGAACGTTGTTGAACTCAGCTGGTTTCCGCCTGTTGGGCGGAGTAAACGACAAGCGGCGTTCTTTAACGATCTTACAGAAAATGGTGTCTTTGCCCAGCTACCACAGAGGGAAAGAAATGAACTCCAGACAAATGCAAGAAGAAGGTTTGAAGAGATATTACTAGAAAGTGGCTTCAACCTGGTAGCCTTCTCCTTGAACTTGCATAAAACATTTATACGATCTGGAATTCCCGTGTGTACTGTTACCCCGAGTTTAGTGGTTGATTTCTATAAATCGTTAACCTCTCAAGATCCGTTGTGTAAGATTGGGTCGATACCCTGCTATATAAGTGAAACCCCTTTCCGAGATGCCCTTGGGTTAATTCTTGTCCTGTTGTACTGTAAAGGAATGGCCAATTTTGGTGATCACTTGCCTGGTCTTCCACTGCTTTTGACACAAGACAGCTGTCTTCGACTCTTCTCAAGCGAGGATCCCAAGTTTTTTTCCAGATTTCATGATATCTTGCCTGGCTCTCCGCACGTCTTTGTGCATATGAACGTTGATCAGAAGGTGTTGAACGATTCTGCAAACTTGAAATCATCCGTTGTCAGGTCTTTGGATGTAGAAGGATTCTCAGCACATCTACCCCAAACACTAGAGTTTGATCGGTACGGAAAAAGTCGTTTTGTAGAGTGGTATTGGAATCAAAACGGTGTTCCCAACCAAAGATGGATATCCAGAGTGTGGATTTTCCTCAGCGACTTGTTTGCAAAAGTTATTCGTGATGAAAGTCTACCTGAACAAACCAAGTGTTCTCAGATAAAGTCTGCTCTTACATGTCTTGCCAACTGGAGTATCCTTCCAGCTACAGAGTCTAAGATTGTAGCGAGGAAGAGCCCTTTCCCTGCATTAGGTATACCTCCAACGTCCACTCAGTTTCTTGTTCCCTTATGCAAGGCAACGGCTGTCCTGGATTACAGAAGCTCAGATGCGGCCAGTAGTAATCTCTTGGAAGTGCTAAAGAAACTCGGTATACCAGAACTCAATTATACTGTGCTGTCAAACTTGAGCTCAGCGGTCCAGCTTGCACCTTTTTTGGTTTCTTCCCTGAAGATTCCTTCATCTCTACTTACTGCCATCCATCACAAGATAGAGAGAGACCCTCAGTCTCCTAAGAGAATGGATCACAAGGACTGTAGGACAATTTTGGAGTACTTCAGTAAAAGTGTGGCCGGCCTTCACGAGGCAGACAAAAGCAAGCTAAAAAAGCTTCCGTTCTTCCTAGCGACGCATGGTGGCTTTGTACCACTTGACAATGATCGCCGTGTTTGTGTCCTTCCAGTTGGGATACCGAGAAAGGAAATTGAAATCTTAGAAGGTCACCTAAAGTTAGTCTTCATTGAATCCTGGGCAGTTCTCTCAAATTTGTTCAAATTCCTGGATCTCCAGTGCGTATCTTCCGTAGACGTGTACTGCACTTACATTCTGCCAACGTTTAACATCTTCAGTCAAGAAGGGAGGCTAGTACACCTGGAGTACATTCGAAAATACCTTCTTTCAGAATTTGTAGCGGATGATGACGTGGACAAACAAAGGCTGAGGAACTGTTTGAAAACAACTCCATTCATTCCCTCCATAGATGGAACGCTTCAAACTGCATCCTCATTCTACGACCCTGACGTTGAGGTTTTTCGCATAATGCTCCCGCCAACCAATTTCCCTTTGAAGCCACTTAATTCGCCAGAGTGGTTAATGGTTTTAAGGACAATAGGGCTGATTCATGAGGTCTCCCATGATCTCTTCAAGAAATTTGCCAGAGAGGTTGCACACGAAGCCACTACAGCGCGAACGGGGAGGACATTTGAGAAGTCACGAATTCTAGTCAAACATCTTTTTCACCGACACAATGTAGTGGCAGAAGGTCTCTTACCTGCCATAGCCGACATACCTTTTGTAAGCAGCGAGCCGGTAAGAAAAGGTCTCAGAGAAGTTTGCCTCCCATATGGGGGAATGAGGGATGACCAGATTCAGTTCTGCGCATTCAAAGGGGCAGTTTCATCAGAGCATGTTGAAATTGTTTGGACGCAGGCGCATTTACTTCCAAGTTGGGCGGATCCAATGACTTGCCGCCGTGAACTCAGCTGTCCCCCCGAAATAAGTACTAAGAAATACTGCAAGATTTTTACCACTCAACTTCAAATTGTTGCAGAGCCATTTGTAGACCTTGTTGTTCGTCATTGTCAAGCCGTTTGTCATTCCCATGAAAACAAAGATGACGGTGATATTTCCTCGCTTGAGCAACGAACGACTTTAATGCTAGTGGTGGAACGCATTTACGAGTTCTTACAAGCAAAGCTGAACCCAGAAAGTGATTTTAGAAGCCTTCTGGTGAATACGCCATGCGTTTTGGTCGAGCAGGGAAAGAGATTTATTCTTCCAGGGCAGGTAGTGCTCGAATTGTACGAACGTCTCGAAATAAAGCCCTTCCTTTACAGTCTACCTCGAGAGTTTGGAAAGTATCACCCTTTATTTCTTGCGCTTGGCTGTTCAAAGTATGTCTCGATTTCCCACTACGCTATGGTGTTGCAAATGCTGTACCTGAAATCTAACAACGCCAAACTACATCCAAATGAGGTAACAGCATGCGTTAAAGCAGTAAAAGGTTTTTTTCAACTGCTAGAAGAAAGCGTGGAGGGGTTGGCGAGTGTTTCACAGCTTTACCTTCCAGGAATTTCCTTCACCAGAAGTTCCTTAGATGAGGCGGAGGGCGTTATACCAGTTACACTGCAACAATCTTCTTACTTGGTGTTTTGTGATGTCCCTTTCCTTGATCGTCTGCAGAGTTTTGACCATCTCCTGCTCGACCTAAAATCAATGAAAGTGGCTTGCAGCTCTGCCATGACGAACTACAAAGAGCTAGTGATGAAATTACCAACTAAATTACGACCCAAAATGCTATCCAGTTTAGTTAAAGAGACAATCTCCTCGAAGAATGAGATAACAACCTTATCGGTTGAAGCTGTGGATTCCCTCAAACACAAGCTGTCTTGCCCAGAATTTATTGCTGCGATTGTGAGACTGATACGGGACGAGAACCAGAACAGGAAGGATATAGTAGACGGTGTCATTGCAAATGTCGAAAGACGCCTTCGAAGTATTGATGTCTACGTTGTAGAGAACCTTCGAAGTGTCTTACTTTGTGACGACAGTCCTATTCCGGGCAGCGAAAAGAGAGTATCTTACGTTCTAGAAAATAGTATTACGTCAGATGAAAAGAGGTACACTGTCTATCTCGATCTGCTATCGGTGACGAAGAAAACCTGTGCACATATTGACATACTTTCTGACGTAATTGTACTAGTTTTGGAAGGTCTTATTGGGAACAGAGCGCTGAAGATCCCTCGTTTGTTGGATTGTGACCCCTGTGCCATGTCTGCGTTATTAGATGCTTTGGATGTGCGTCCAGATGACTCCTACGTTCCGCGGGCAGAAGTTGATATCTTTCCAAAACTTGGCACCTTTATTCCACTTATCGACCATCACTTGTTAAACGACGCCTTTGAAGAATTTGAGCCCGGTGAATATGTTGGTTTTGAGCTCGAAGATCCAACTCTAAACTGCGAGGAGGGTGTTCCGACTTACATCTATGCAAGAGTTGTTAGGGAAGTGACAGAGAAAAGTTTTCCTCTCTTGACGAAGAGGTACAGAATCGACATTGGGGGTGGCCAAGAGTCAGAGGTTGATGTCGCAGACCTTTACAAGTTTCATCGGTTGTCATCCCTATCAACTGCGATTGTAATATTTGAACATCAAGAGCAGAGCCCTTCTGAAAGACCTAGAACCAGAAACCAGCAACAGGTATTTGATGAGATGTCGAAACTTCTAGAAGATGCGTGGAAATTACCAGAGGAGAAACGCCGGAAAATCATCAAGCGGCTCTATCTTCAGTGGCATCCTGACAAAAACGTTGGTGATGAAGAATTCTGCACAGAAGTTTGGAAACATATCCAGAGTGAAATCTCGCGGCTGGAACGAGGGGAGCCAAGGGGAAGCCAGCAAAGCTCAGACAATGGCTTCAGCCGAGGTCAGCATGGCTCTTACGGCCAATTTTTTAATTGCTGGGGAGAACGGGCCAGAGAACATCACACACAGCGAGAAGGATACAGATCCAGACAGCAATTCCGTAGAAACTCTGCCAGAGCAGAGAACCCGCAACCGGGAGAAGCCAAGCGATGGCTGAGGCAGGCTGAGGCTGATATAGCAGCAACAGAAAATGACATTGTCTACCAAAGACCCTCCTATGAATGGGCGTGTTTCAAATGCCACCAGGTATGGTGAAAACTGTACGGGCCCCCTTCCTTGCTTTGATCTTGTTTTTTTGTTGTTGCCCCATTTGACCTTTTGGCAAAGTGATTTCTTGAGTCGGCAATAATTTTAACCAGTCTCTTTTTCAACTTGAATGACTCGACAAGTTTTCGGAGCCGACCCTTGAGTGTACTAATGAGATGCATTGTTTCTCGTATGAGCTTTAAATTGTATTTTCCCACTCGCATCGTGTAAACAGTATTTGACACAAATGACCAAGAAAGAGCGAGAAACTTGGTATCGCCATTTCCTTGAAGACTTTAGCAACTGACGAGGGCTTAAATCAAGATATTTATTTTTTAAATCGCAAAAGAAAAATAGCGTTTTGAAAGCATATGGAAAATGCACAATAGATTTTCCTTAACTACGGGAAGACAAAATATTTTTAATGCTTAAATGAAATAATTTAATGTCATAGGCGGCAGAGAAGGCTCTCAAAGCTGCACAGTACGCCATAGATGTGGAGAGGACAAACGTACACAACTTGCTGCAGATTTGCCAAGAGTTAGAAGACTTTGAATTGACCCAACTAGCGCGTCAGCTGGAATGCCTTGTGGTTAATTCTACACGCATGCGCTATCCAGATAGAGTGTGCTTTCCCAAAATCCTAAACGAAGTGTACTCGGCTGACATGGCAGAAGAAGCCTTGCGGTTATCGAAGAAGATCGTCCAGCGAGTTAAAAATCGATTAACCTAAGGTTTGTGCAATGAGGAAAATTATTCTAATGTATTGCTATAAAATGACGCATTAAAAAATAATGTACAACAAAGTAGACAGTTAAATTTCCTTGAATTGGTATGAACGCCAACAGTTCCTAAGCTGGGTAAGGAGCTTTTACGGTTATAAGGAGGCAGCATTGTCAAACGGGAAAATAAAATTTGTATTTGCTTTCAAAGCGAAACTGAACGGTTACGTATCATAAAATTATATTGCCCTTGCAGTTTACTCCAACAAATGTAGAGGTAGACGCATTCAATTTTATATATATCAAACATATGTCTCATGAACTTTGTACTGACAACTGTACTAACTGTAACTGTACTAACAAACACTTTTTTGCCTTTATACAGGTCGTTTCGAAGTAACCGTGTGATGCACTTTACTCAAGTACAACCAGCATCCCAATTTAAACGTACTAATTTTTAGAAACTAAAGTTATTGATTTTTTAGCTTAACTTTCAGTAGCAGCGTAGATAATGCATACTTAAATAGATTGAAGTTGAGCCAAACATTAGAAGTTTTTAGATACGGTGTGCCACCTACCAACAACAAAAACATAATTTTTAATAGATAGTACAGTTGAGTATCCAATCCATTTCTGGACCCTCCCTCTCTGCCACGCAACAGAAAGAGAAGGGCCAATTCAGTACAGATAATTCCACTCAAAAATTCCATATTCCGGCATGAAGAAAGAATAAAACAGGGACGAAACAAATTTTGCATCATTATGGGTAGCTGCAGGTGAACTTACTAGGCAGCTATTAAGGCTTTACATTAATGCCGTTTTTTTTTTGTTTCATATATGGAGACCACTTTTTTGATTTTACAGGAGTTTTCTTTAGGTTTGTGATTTCTTGATTGCTAATTTTTTTATTCCTCAATAAAAGTCAAAAAACAGTAATGATACTGAAGATTCAAGGATACGGTGTCTAAAAGGGGAGAGAGTGGATCACGAGAGCAACATAACTGGCAATTGAGTTGTATTTTTCAGAGAAAAACTTGTTATTTCTTTTCACTCAGGTTTGATAGTACGCTAGAGAAGAAAGTACATAGCAGTTGCTTGTCCTAACGTCTAACCATTTCCTTCCTATAGCATTATAGCATTAAACACACCATTTTTGTTAACTGGTAAGGAGACTTTTAAAAAATAAGTTAGATTTCTCAAATATACATTTAAATATAATTACACTGCTAGCTTTTTACAAATAAATCGTTGTTTTTTTCCTTCATTTTCTCGTCCTTTCATTTGTGTTTTATTTTAAAGTTACCATTTCGTTATTTCTAAATTTCCTCGCAAGTAACTTTTTGCAAAAGTTGATTTTAAGGTGAGGGAATCCAAATATAACTTATACTGAAATGTGCAGCCATTAAGTAATGATGAGTTCTTTTTGCCTTTTTAAAATCCCAAAATAACGTGAATCAGTTTAAAGCTTAGGCCCAAAATGAGAAGTGTGAACCATGTGTTGGTGCAAGAGTTGAGTTCTCCTGAGATAATACATCAAGCATTGAGCGATCTCATTTGTGGCTAAAAGAAGTAAAGATGACAACTTTTTGAGCAACTGAAAAACAAGTTTTTTGGTCTAAAATGTCTGTGGTATATACATGCGTTATTGAGCGAATATTAGGTCAAGATAAGTAAATATTGGCAGATTGTTTAATTTTCGAGATGAAGTCATGAAGTCTTCAAAAAAGTGAAACAAAAACGAACGAGGGCAATAGCCAGCAACCTTTAAGGGACAAGCTTTCCCGTGCATTATTTGTTATATGGTCAAACGAAAACGTTTCCTCGCAGAGACAACACTACTGTGTCTGTAAGATTTTGGAAAAGTGAGTCGTGAAATGTGATATTTGAAACAATTCGTGCAAAGAGTATAACGAAATGGATTCTGTTTGATTAAGACCATGAATCCGGACGAGCGGGGATGAACTGGTATTAAATATAATGTTCCAAGGAACTCTTTCGGGCAAATTCTTAGAGATTGCAATGGGAAACAAAGATCTAAGATCGCATTAAAAGGGATTAAAATTTTGAAAATTTGCTGTTTTAAATGAACCATTAATTTATAGCTGATTTTCTTGAACCTTCTCGAGCCTGAGAGGTATGTTGAAAAATTTCTACCAAATTCATTGTTTGTCTTGAATATCAATTGTAGGCAAGTCAACTTATCTATATGCTGAAAATAGCGGTTTTAAAGTAGTTAAGGAGGAAATAAAGCATTTAAATACGTAACACATGACTGAAAATCAGCAACCCTTTTATATATCTTTAATGAGAGAAAATGGCCTCTTATTCACATAATTCAGTATTAGTGACCAGGGCACAGTTGTTCGAAGGTCGATTAGTGCTTAACCCGGGTTTCTTTTTCTTGTGTTTAAAAGCATAATAATTTTCTCTGTTATTTTTAGAGCTTCCAATCATCAACTTGAGGACAAAAAGAATTACAACTGAATTGCTTTCTAAGCTTTCAAATCTGAATTCAAATCTTGCACTAATCCGGGGTTATCTTAACCCATCTTTGAACAACTAGGCCCTGAGGTAAATCTCGCCCATTTCGTGAGGAAATGGAACTGGCTGAACATAGAAATACACTAGAGTAGTACGGACAATTTTTTAACCGATCTGGCTTTTCTCTTTTAAAATTTCGATTGCTTCTATCCTCCCCTCATCGCAAAGTTTCTAGGTGCTCCTGAGTGACGTCCCTCATTTGAATTAACGGCATACAAGCGCGACGGAACGCTTTTTTCTAAGTTATGGTGTCGATATGTGTGGTGGAGTTTCACGACTTAAGAAAAGTCTCTCTCCACGCCACGCCTACGAGGATATCTGGGATGGATATAGAGATGCCCAACTCCTCGAGCGCGGCGCACATGTGTAACTGCGAAAAAGATGCTTTTGTTGGAAAGTGGATCTCTATTATGTCATAAAGCGATGCTGTGAATGAGAGGAAAGCCATACGTTACGTTTCATGCTGTAATCGATTCAAAGGCAGGAACGCCATGGCCACCAACAAGGCATAAAAGCTTGAATGTGCGAGCACCAATCAGATCTCACCTATGCTCTGATAAAGATCGACAAAAGGTGGAAAGAAAAGTCACATTTTTCCATGATTTGTTAACAAACACTCACTGAAAGAAATATGAACAGGGCATACAGCTATTTTAATTAACGATGCCGGGTTTGAGCGACAGGCAAGGTCATGTGGGTAGCTGTAACATTTGGTCTCAATTTAGCGGTTGTTAGTGCCAAAGAATAGATAATGGTAACAAACGTTTACGAGAGAAATTTTATGACAGGGAAAATTTGTTTCATGGGTCCAAGTTGATAAGCTGTACACAGAAGCCGATAGCTGTATGTCTCTCATAGCAGCCAAGTCTTGGTCACACGCCAGCAGGTGCAAACAACCAGATCGTTTTCCGTGAAATCTAACCAGACAAGCCATTTATGCTATTGATACTTTCCCGGAATTCATCAGATTCAGGGGGCGCTTTCCATTTAGGAAAAAACCCCGGAAATTTCGGTGGGAGCAAAAGTGGAATTTCCGATTGGTAAAAAGTTGTTCCATTTGGTCGTAAACCCCGGTACGTCGCGGTGTCCGACGGTGGACCTGGAACTGGTACAAACTACGAGAAACGTAAATGGAACACGACATTCCGTTCGGAAATTCCAGCTGGGGAAACGGGACCACCTTTCTAGATTTTCTACTTTTTCTGGGAATTTTCCAGTGGGATCAACCGACGAAACGTGTTCCATTTACCGCCGAACCGGAATTTCCGGAAATTTTGACTAAATGGAAAGTGCCCAGGGCCTCTTCATATGAGCCCGGTTGACCGGGCTGGCTCGGTTACCGGGATGAATTTTGCCTTCGGTTCATGTGAGAAATTTCAGCCCGGTTTCCGAGATAAGAAAAGGTCAAAGATCCTGGGAACGAGTTCTAGCACCACATTCGGGAAACAAACATGGCGAAAAAACATGGCGAAACACAAAAATTTTAACTTTCGGGCCTATCTTCCCATCGGTAACTCTTAAAGCTGTATCACTGCAGTTAAATGCATGCTTATGATGTGGAAAATACAGCAGGCAATGCAAGTCGATGCCATCGATCTGGACCGCCAGAATTCACCCCGCCATTCATCCTGGTAACCGGGATGAAGTGTTCATATGGCAAAATTTCCAGCCCGCTTACCGAGATCTCGGTTGGAAAAACCGAGATCTCGGGAACCTAGGCAGCCCGCCCTCTCATATGAACAAAGC